TTGCCTTGAATAAAAACACCAGCTAAATAATTGGATAATAAAATGATTAATAGCCTGTTGCTCAGTTAGAATGTTGGTATGGTTTTGTTCCCTGTTTAGTATGTTTAAAGTCTAAATAATTTAATTACAGTAAATGAGATGTTTCTCAATTGAATAAAAAAAGTAGTTTAAAAAATAACAGTCAATTTCATCCATTCTTTGCAATTCCACATGTAAGAATCAAACGCTTATAAGAATCAAATCATCCAGGACGGATGTGATTCTTCTAAAAGGAGTGCACTGTGTGAGGGGTTGGACCCCCGGGAGAGTCACCTGGTGTGCTGCGACACCACGAGCGTGTGCTGCGGACCTGCGGGATTGGTCGACGCTATGCACGTCTCATGCGGCGCCTCATGGTCTCAGACGCCATCCGATGGTCCAGGGACATCTACGTCGAGCACATCACCGGCCACCAACAGTACCAGGAGGCGTGAGCCAGAGTGACATCGTTCTCCCACTACGAGAAAGGGACCAAGTGACCTTCTCCGTTGGATCATATGAACTGGAACCATAAACTCCCTAAACATTAAATCTCACCAAATGAGGGTCAATCCATCCTCATTATCATATCCACTCATTATAATCCACACCCGAACATAGCCACTTTATGAACTTCATACCCTCATATCTCAATGTCTGTACTTTGACCCATCAACCTTTTACCCCCAATCGGGGATATTGCAGATTATGTATTCCTCATGCCACCTTATCTTAAACCAAACTTTGCACCCTCTATAATCTGTATGTTATTCCCTGATAACCAGAAACTTCTATGCTCAAACTCTGTTCACTATTTTTTTTTAACATCATCTTAATAAAATTTTTAATTCTGCCAGCCTGGGCTCCCTTTTAGCTGGTCTTGCTGGGCTAGGCTCCCCAGCCTTTTCCAGCCAAGCACACATGCAGGGCCACACCCAGCTGCACAGAAAGACAGAAATCCGCTCTGAAAAGACTCAGCTTAAGGGCTTGCCACAGCACCCAGATGTCCACACCCCCCCTTGGAGTACAAACCCAAAATTATATGAAATTCACCTCTTCTCTCAATGTGGAAGAGGGTATACACAACTTCTTGCTCCCCAGTTAGAAATCACATAAACTGGGTTATATTGTAAACCAGAAATACATTTATTAACTATAACAAGTATATTTTAAGTAGCTAAGGAGATAGCAGACAGAATGAGGCAGATTACTAAGAAAATAAAACAGAGCACGCAAACTAAGCTTAATACACTAAAGAAAGTGGTTGCATGTAAGTTCTCACCCTAAATATGATTCTAATAATCTTCTTCACAGGCCAGACACCCTTCCAGCCCGGGTCCAGTTGTAATCGTGCCTCAGTGGGTCACAAATGAGGATACCAAAATCAGGACGAACTGCTGAGAAATAGGGCAGATACACCCCAAGAGTGGTGGCTAATCACTTATAGGATATACCAAACCAGCAACAAAAGTAAACTTGTTTCACCACACTGGCTAACAAGAAAACATAAAGGCAGTTTCCTCAAGCATTCCAGTTCTTATATCACCACCAAAAACACTGGATTCAGAGATGAGTGGTTCTTTACAACCAATCTCATCAAATAATAGGTTCTTCTGATCCCAAAGGACCAGCCACATATATATATATAAAAAACTTAGATCTTACCCAAAAATCACGCTGATGCCAATCCTTTAGTATCTAAAATCTGAAGGTTTATTCATAAAAAGAAAGAAAGAAAGGTGAGAGTTAAAATTGGTTAAAGGAATCAATTACATACAGTAATGGCAAAGTTCTTGGTTCAGGCTTGTAACAGTCATGGAATAAACTGCTGGCTTAAGTCAAGTATCTGGAGTACATCCACAGCTTGGATGGGTCATTCAGTCCTTTGTTCAGAGCTTTGGTTTGTAGCAAAGTTCCTCGAGAGGTCAGAAGCAGGATTGAAGACAAAATGGAGAAGATGCAGCTGCCTTTTATAGTCTTTTGCCATGTGGCTTGTGCTTCCTTTGTTTCAAACAAAAACTGCCCAGCACATGGCCTGGAAGCCTTTTCTGGCCATAGGCATACCTATGCATGCCTTGCTGAGTCATAAGGTGTATTCTCTGACTTCTCTCAATGGGTCAATTGTATAGCTGATGGTCCTTAATAGGCCCATCTAAAAGGAGTGCATTGTGTGAGGGGTTGAACCCCTAGGCTAGGCAGGCCTGATGCCCAAACTGTCTGGGGATGTCACCCAGAAGCATAGCACAAGTTTTGTAATACAGACATAGATACATATCTATAACCCAAAATACAAATGTGATACAAACACATACAATAATCTCATGTATTTGGCAAACTATAACATTTTTGCAGATATCTTACGTGGCATATCTGGCACAACTCATTGCAGTTTTACAATATTAATATTCATAATATCCTCAAGTGTCTCCCAGAATCCATACAGCGTCACACACCCCACACAAAATTGATGCAGAAAGGCGTGTCCCTCGACACCGCTGAATGCATCACAAGAATTTTCCATTCTAGGACCTATATTACTGCACTTTCAGTTTACATCGCAAGTATTAGTGTACAACAGAAATAGTTTATCAAAATCATGTCTGACTAAATCAGGCTCTTCATATACAGCTACCTTCATTTTCTGAAAGTATTCTCTCTCTGTTACATCAATATAGACATTAATGCTCTCAAGGGTATAATTACCTTGGCATTTAGCCATGACAGCAATGTGGTAGTGTGCCTCAGTTTCCTTCTCTATACAGCAGACTACATTTATAAAGGTTTCTCTGCATTGCCAAGTTTCACAATTGCTTACAGGTATCGGTTGTAACATTTCACTATCATAAAGCTCTCTAGCATACAATGTGATTTTAGGTATTATTCCCAATATGTTTACAGGCTTTGTATCAGTCATACACTTTGACCTTTTTACCAGGGTTGACATCAAAATCAAATACATTAGAAGGTTAAACCTTAACAGTAACACCAAATTTGTTACAAGTCAGTGTTTATAAGTATCTTGGTCATACCATGCCTCTTGTCTCACTGAATCCCTTGGCTGGCCAGGTGTGTCCTCATTGCTACCAGCTATGGAGCAAATCTTCCCCCTCCCTTGTCAGCCAGGTAGATTGTATCAACCCAGACACTAGCTTTCAAATTCTCATCTGTTAACAATTTCAAGGCTGTACACTCATTCTTCCCTTCAGCAGATTGGGTCCTTCCCCTCTCCCGACCTTTCTCCTAGAAGGTTGAAAACTGAACCTCCCTGCTTACAGGAATCCCTTTGCTGGCTAGGTGTGTTCACCAACTGCAGCCCCTCTGTGCTATGAACATCTACACACTCTCCTGCATGCTTGCTTGTGGATCCGCCGCCACAGCTCAGAGACTGGATTCTGTTTTAAAGAGATACCAAACAAATCCAAAGTGTCTAAGGGTGAGAGTTTGCCTGCTCTCCCCTGCATCCTTGTGGTTTCAGTCATAAGGCCGTTCTGCTCTAAAAAAACAGTAACCCAATCTTTCCTCAGACCCTGAGGTACAGACTGCTTATACAAAGAATCAGCATGGAGACATTCCTGTTCCAACAAGCTCCCCAACAAGCTGGTCAAACACAGCCACTGACTTCTATTGCCTAAAAAGTAGATTTATTTCTGCTACTGAGAATGAGTGTCAGCCAGTGGAATACCCATCCTTCCCATCAAAGAGATTTCTCAACCTTCTATTGTATTTGGTATTTCTGAAAGATGTGAATTGAAACAGATAAATATATATTAGCAAAAAATGAAACAGTCATAAATGGGGGTCCCTTATCCTAATATTCAAAATACCCTGGTTTCCTCTCCCCATTAATCCCATACTCACTCTCCTCTAAGAATACCAACTACTTTCAAAATTATCCATAGGAAAATATTTAGAGGCAATGCACCATATTCCTTAACAGTTAGCTTCTTTTAGTAGATTTAATGGTCACGGTGTGTGGGGGATGAGTATCGTTTTCTTTTAAAATATTAGTTAAAACATGAAATACAGTGGTTTCTCCTCACTTTGGGCAATTTCCCTTCCCTACATACATGTGTGTGTTACATATAAAATACAGGCACACATTTTGGCTTGCTACATAACAGCAATGAAAGTGGTTTAAATATTAAACATGAATGTCAAATATACAAATGTTAAACATCAGCAGTTCTTGCATTTTAACTGAGGTCTTTAATACCACGTACAGTTCAGATTGTACATACTGTAGATCTGTCACACCCCAATGGCCCCCTCCCTCAAGGGGTCCCCCTGGGGGAGGTAGGTCATCATTGTATATTACTAAAGCTGTTGCAAGCATCGCAGGGCGTTTTGGGAAGAGTCAAAGGTGTGAGTGTGGAATGTTGCAGGTTGCAAAAGGCCAAAGGGAAAGGAGGAAGAGAGCAGAGAACGGGTTAACTCAACACTGTAGCTACCTAGCTCAGTCCGACAGTAAGACGCTATACTGGCCCCAGTCCAAGGTCAGCCCTAGACAAGAAATCTGCAGCTGCGTTTCTCTCTCACTCAGCCACAGACAGCCATGAGAAAAGAAAAAGTACATTGAACCAGGGCTGCAGAGATGGAAAACACAGGTGAGACAATGGGGGGGGGGGGGGGGGGAAGCAGAGATGTGCGTCCCTGGAGCTGGTGTGTTTTGGGAAAGTTGAGACCACAGAAAGCCGGTTTGGACTGGTACAAAGAACACCAGGAACAGAGGTCGCAGAACGAAACACCCTCAAAGGAACCCTGGACTTAAAAACCCTCCTGAGAGCTGGAGCAATTCGGAGATCGCAGCGGACCCTGGACGACCTGTGCACACAGGACAGAATTCCCATCCACCCTCTCCTGCCCCTCCCTTCTTCTTACGTTACCCCCAGGCTTGGTCAGCCTTGGGTAGAGCGTGTGTGAGTATGAAAGTGGGTTAGGGCTTGTGGCACTAACGCTTTCTTCCTTCCTCTGAGTGACGTGGGGAGCACCCATCACTCTCTGCTGTTATTTTATTATTTTATTAATAAAGCTTTAAAATTTAGACACTTGGTGTGTTTCGTCATCTCCTCCCTAAAGATCCTGTGGCCTCAGGCAAATTGGTAACCGAAAATCTGTCACAGATACTTTATCATTAAATCAAAATGAAGCTTTTTTTTTTTCCATTAAAATCCTGTGTAGCTTTGAGCTGGAATCAGACAGTCAGTATTGTTTCACCACAGCTTCTGTAGCAGTTGCATTACACATACTCCTGAGAACCTCAGTCTTCCATTACCTTTTAAACAGCATTTCACAGGTTACATTAAAGATATATTTAACAAAAATAAAGGTTCTAAAAAAGAAATGGTATAAATGCTTTTCGATGTGTTGGGTAGCAGCTGAATTTGTTCACATAGAACTCCTGGCACAGAACTGCAGCCAATGCCTGGTTAAACAACACAAACATCACTACAAGCCACCATGTTAAGTTTTGAAATCCAAATGTGATGGCCATGGATACATATATTAGGAGTTCAGCAAAATAATGTGGGCAAGATACTCTCTCAAACCAGTCTCCAAAAGGAATGCTGTGGCTCAAGTTTACTACCTTTCCTGCAATTTAAAGAAAGAAAAAAGTCAGTTGATAAAGCTTGTTTTAAATACATGCTCTAACTCTTAATCCATATTTATGTATAATTACAGAGTAATGCTGAGCACCTGCAGTTCCCACTGACTTCAGTGAGATTTGTGGGTGCTAAGCACTTCTGAAAAAGACTCACACCACTTTTATTACGTGCCTACATATGGATTAAGGAGCCTAATTTTAGCCACTCAGGTTTGAAAATAGTGACCTTAACTCACTCCCAATACAAAGTCTAATGTTATGAATGTCACCTTAACTCATTCCCAATACAATGTCTAATGTTACTTTAAGAAGTGAGGTCTAAGCATTGAGTGAGAATTTCTAATCATGGCTCAGGAAAGTAATTTCTTCTGTAGCCTCTGCGTATCCATCTCTCCATTTATAAATGACAGATGATAACTAATAATCACAATTACTTGATAAGTGTTTAAGTGTTCCTAACACATTTTAGACATTTCTATTAAGGGTGATACAACTATGAACTTTGTTTTAAACTTTGCATACTGTGAATAACTATATCTCACCAGCTCATGTCTCTTCCAGATAGACTAATTTAATCCCTTGGAAAATGATCTACATAGATACATATTCACATCAGCATTCATTTCACTGAGTTTTTGGAAAATACCAGTGTTCTAAGGCTCTACAGAGATTCATTGTGACACACAATTTTTAATGGAAAAAATTATTACAAACAGCTCCAAGAAGTGAAACATCTCACCTGATTTACTTTTTCTAAGATTAGCTAGAATCACATGGCATCTATGCTGGTGAACAGAGGCCCAAATGTACATCATAATTCCTAGGATGTGGTACCAGGAGATCTGCATAAAGAGGTCTTTTCCTGAATTAAAAATGAAAATAGTATGCCTATTAATACAAGATTAGAAAAAAGTCTGCACTGAACCCTCACCAACACCATCTCAAAAAAAGTTCAGCTTATATATATTTAACCTTGCAGCTTTTCCCAGTGTACTCCCCTCTTCTTGAATAATGGTGAAGGGGACTTTTAAACACAACTTATACAGACAGTGAACCACACCCTAGTTCTGAATTGCTGCAGACCTTTATTCTTAACTGCCTGCTACTGCAAGTTATAATTAGTCAGTTTTGTTTTTAATCAGTAGCTGTAGGAATAAGGGATGGTGCATACTACAAGCAGAAAGGGTCACCATTTGGTTCAGGCCTCCATATTCTAACATTTTTGACTGTGGCAGTATTTATAAAAATGTATTCTTATCACCATGTTACAAGACAGTGCCATAGCTCAGGTCAAGATATCATTACAGAACTGTGTTGCCTGATCTATACTAGCAATTAAAAAAAAAAAAAAAATGGTTAGAACAGATTACTCTGATTTGTAAGAAATTTGCACTATGGATGGGCCCCAGTGCTTATGCCAATGCACCATCTCTGTGGAATGCCATGATTAGGAAGGTAGAAAATGCACCCAGACAGTGCCACCTAGAAAAGGCTTTGTTTGCACCAAAATCATTCTAAAAGTGCTGTAAAATCAGCATGGAGGACAAAAGCTACCTCTAAGATAGCTTAAATTCTGTATCTAGTGCTGACCACATAAGAAAAATTAGTCATGTGAAAAGCACACCAGGCAGTTTGGGCATTTTGGTTCATCATGTACCTATGCAGCAGAGCAAACAACAGCTCAACTGTAGGACTTGGTGCAACATGTTGGCAGAAACAAGTCACATCATTCAAAGAGCTCTACAGGATTTGTGGATAACTTAACTGGCCTAAGTAGCAAAGAGAAAGAAGACGATCGGATAGTAAATGGGTGACTGGAGGCCAAGAACTAAGTAGACAGACAAAGCTGCTGGCCATGGGGCAGGCTCATATTTAAAGGAGGGTCCATAGCAAAGAGAAACTTCAGACTATAATAGCCATGTAACCAGGGAGATCCTGACCTCTGCTGAGCTGGAGGTTCCTTCATAAAGTGGAAGCACCTCATTGACAAAGACATGATGTGTTGGGCCTGGGAGTCTAAGGGACATGGTGGCATACAGCAAACAATGGTACTGAGCTATAAGGAGAAACCACATGTAGAGCAGAACTAGGATACATACTACAGGCGTGCATGTGATGTCATGTGCTGGCTAATAAGTCTGACTTTAAGTAACTGCAGTAAGTACTTTTATAGATCTCATCAAATACCTATCTCACATACACCTGTACACAAAAACACTCTGTAGATAGAACTTTAGAAGGTGAAAAGATTAGGCATACTACTGATCTCTCGCTCACCCATCCCCCTACTCCCACCCTCACCAAACCATCTTGTGATACTAGAAACAAATTAAAAAGAAGCTGCAACTATGGTTAGCACTAAAGAGGCACTCACCATTGCTGACATTAGCTGGCACTTGACACAGCACCGTTAAGCCAATAACAATATAGTACCCAAGTGCAAAGCAGTACTGTACAATGTGAATGACACCACTGGAGAAGACACTGATGCAGAGGCACTCTATGAGCCTTCGAAAGCTGTGTAGCCACAGGAGCATGAGAACCAAGAGGACTGACAGGTGTTTGTCACCTACAAGTCAAACAGAAGTGACAATCTCAAACTCTTTCTCTTCTCTGAATTCCCTCTGGAAAACAGTTTCCACTATAATTTAATTTGCATTAATTTAAAAATTATCTAGAGGGACATCAGCTATGGAACCTGAACAGCAGGAACGAGAGAAAAAAAAAATCAGTGTGTGTATTTTTAAGATGACTGCCTTGAAAGATGGAGAGTAAGTCCTTTTGGACAGAAAGGATGCTTTTTAATTTGTGTATATGGCACCCGCACGTTGCAATGATGAGCACATTTAGCGTTTGTCTTATTATTAGTGTTGCAAAAGGAACACTGACAACTTGAAGGATGGTAATTTAAATTAAAAAAAAAAAAAGTTAAAAGTGAAGGCAGTTGTAAAAACTACCTCCAAATTCCCCAATTTGCCTATTTTTTAAAAAAAAAACTGCTTCTCTTTCCTCTGTTGGTGTCTGAAAGAACCACACAAAAAGAGAAAACAGACTATAGTGAAATGGACTACACACATAAATTGTCAAATGCATGATGTAAACAAACTTTTAAGAGAGATTTTTAATCTCTTTCAGTTGCACAGAAAAACCTCAGATATCCAAAATGTGAAAACATCCAATAAAACTGGAATTTGGTTTTTTCAAGTTTTGGCTAGGACCTCTGAGCTGTTACAAGATTTACTGACTCATTTTTCAGGCAGAAGTATTTTTTTTCAGTTGACTGAATGTGCTAAAGGTGAATTGTAAAGCAAAATACTTTTTGTTGTTGTTGCTTTTATTGCATTTTGATTTTGTATTAAGATAAAAGGGGGTGTTTTTTTTTTTTTTTTTTTTTAATTAAGGCTGAGAATCAGCATCCCCTCCCCTCTGAGTTGGGGGAAGGGAGAGCCGCACAGGTCCTCCCCATTTTTCTTGCTAAGGTAAAATAAAAGAAAGGCCAGATATTTACAGTGAGAAAAAACAAAGGAATATATTTTTAAAATTTATGAAATACTCTTTATATATCCTAAAAACAATTGTACAGGACAAAAATAGTTTTGCTTTGCTGTCCACTTTTAAATCAATTAAACCAAGAGATTATTCTGGAACATCCTTTCCATTAGTTTCTTCTGTCTAAATAAAGGAAGGATTACTTCTAGAAAAGGATAATTGAATAATGGTCAAAGCCTTGAACAAGGCCACCAATGCCTTGGTTTCCTGACCTGTACTTCTTACGGTGGTACTGCAAAGATTAATGTGTGGGTATCATGGGATTCTTTGTTTACAGCCTTCCTGAATCTATAAACTCTTTACATCGTTACACCCTAATCTAGAATTTTTCAAATAAAGTATTTCCTTACCAATCTAATGTGAGATCAAATTTGCTTCTTTCAGATCTATTCTAACTTTCTGATGAAGGCAGGGGCTGGGAAGGGGACATTGCACCCCATATTCTTCACAGTGATATTATGATGATCTGATTATGGCATAATTCTGATGTATTTTGTACAAGGTAAGTCATGTGAGGTGTCATTGGAAAAGTTATGATTTGCTGAATACGATTATCCTATTTGTATGCATGTATCATTTTTGTATCTGAAATTATGAATATTGACTAGGGATCTGTATATCAAATGGGCTTACTCTGGAAAACACCCACAACTCGCCTTTCAGGTACAACAATGAAGAAGCCAGACAGGACTGATGGCTCATCAGCAAAGACCATGGACTGTGGAATAGCTAACCTTCCTGTGGGCGTTTTCGCCAGCCTGTAAGCAATGGCTGCTATAACACTGCAAGGGCATGTGCCCAGACCACATGTCTCTGGCCTCCATCTTGGGATGTCAGTATTTTTCCACAAACCGGTCTGGCAACCAAGTTTTGAAACAAAGGGTTCCTGCCCTATGCTAAAGCTATACAAGGCAGGGAGTGACATCATCTGTTGTTCTTCACTCCTCACACAAGAAGACTCCTGGAAAGACCCAAGAAACAAAGACTGACCTGGGGGAAATGCTGGAACCAGGCTAAAGGGATTTCTAGCCTGCATATGAAACACCTGGGAATTCCAAGCTGCAAAGCAAGTGTAGCTTGTGCCTTAAGAATCTGCAGCCTGCTTGTACCATCTCTCAGGGTGGGAAACTGCTAGTGTGTTAGACTTCATTTGCGTTTTTGTTTATTTACTAGGTAACCTGCTTTGATCCGTTTGCCATCACTTAAAAATCTCTCTTTTCTAGTTAATAAACTTGTTTTCGCTTGATCTAAACCAGTGAGTTTGGAGTGAAGTGCATGGGAATCTTAGCTCAGAGGGGCTGTTGCATTTCCTCTCCACATTGAGGGGAAAGCTGAACTGGATAATAAATTCATACTGGTTGGGGTTTGGACCAGGGCAGGACGGTACCGCTTTGGGGTCCTAGGCTGGGAAGCTGGTGGTTATTTTGGCTGTAGCTTCTCTATTTTTGGTGCATATGCAGTGGCTGGTCAGAGAGCCTGCATGTAATTGCAGCTGGGTGTGTCCCTACCTGTGTGAATGCTGGTGGAAGTGTAGGGCCAGGAGTGGGTCTGCAGCTTGTCACAGCAGCACCGTGAGAGAGGGAGCTCAGGCTGGTGGGTCAGAGAGTTCATTAGTACCCCAGTTACAGGTGGCACCTCGCAGGGGAGAACCCATCACAGAAGGTGCTTAGTGAAAGTTGCAGAACCAATATCTCCTAACACACTGAGTCCCAGCTGCAGTACAAGCATCTTATTATGAAGGAATGAATTCCCCCACCCTCCTCCCTTCAAGTCAACAATTTCCCCATCTCCAAGACCCAAGGAGCGAAGTTCCTGGCTGGGATGGGAGTGTGGGAGCAGCTTGTACCCATTGCAAGTGCAAACAGTAGGAAGTTAGAGAGAAGTGGCAGGTGCAGCCAGTCTAATTAGGAACCACTTGCAGGTATTGAGAATCCTGCTAACTGTAGGGTAAGGAGGCACATTTAACCCTGAGCCTCTGATGGATGGAGGATTTGGCTAGTGATTTAGGCTTGGTCTACACCAGGGCGGGCAAACTTTTTGGCCTGAGGGCCGCATCAGGTTTCTGAAATTGTATGGAGGGCTGGTTAGGGGAGGCTGTGCCTCCCCAAACAGCCAGGTGTGGCCCGGCCCCACCCACTATCTGACCCTCCCTGCTTCTCACCCCCTTACAACCCACCTGGGACCGCTGTCCCTCCCCCCTCCCCCATCACCACCCATTCCCTGTCCTCTGACTGCCCCCCCGCCTCCTCATCCAACCCCCCCCCTTCCTGACTGTCCCCCCCCCAGGACCACTGTCCCCATTCAACCCCGTTTCCTGCCCTCTGACCACCCCGACCCCATCCACAACCCCACCCCCTGACCACCACCACCCCGAACTCCCCTGCCCTCTATCCAACCCCCCCTGCTCCCTGCCCCCTTACCGCACTGCCTGGAGCATTGGTGGCTGGCAGCACTACAGCTGCGCCGCCCAGAGCAGTAGGACAGGCAGCTGCGCCGTCTGGTGGGAGCCAGCCACACCACTGCGCAGCACAGAGCACTGGGTCAGGCCGCGGCTCTGCATCTGCGCTGCCCCAGGAGCTCGCAGCCCCGCCGCACAGAGCATTGCGCCGGCAGCGGGGCAGGCTGAGGCTGCGGGGGAGGGGCCGGGGGCTAGCCTCCCGGGCCAGGAGCTCAGGGGCCGGGCAGAAGGGTCCCGCGGGCCAGATATGGCCCACAGGCCGTAGTTTGCCCACCTCTGGTTTACACTATAGCTAGGTCGACATAAGGCAGCTTATGTCGACCTAACTATGTCATATCTACACTACAGCCTTGCTCCTGCCACCGTAAGTGCTCTACTACACTGACATCATAACTCCACCTCCACGAAAGGCATAAGGCTTATGTCAGTGAAAGTGAGAACAGGCGTTCATATGGCACTGTTGTAGCCCGCATTGCAAGATATAGACATGCCAGATGTGCTAAAGATTCATATGTCCCTTCATGCTTCGACCACCATTCCAAGGACCTGCGTCCATGCGGATGACGGGTTCTGCTCAATAATGATCCAAAGCAGTGCAGACCGACGTATGTTCATTTTCATTATCTGAGTCAGATGCCACCAACAGGTTGATTTTCTTTTTTGGTGGTTTGGATTCTGTAGTTTCTGCATTGGAGCGTTGCTCTTTTAAGACATCTGAAAGCATGTTCCACACCTCGTCCCTCACAGATTTTGGAAGGCACTTCAGATTCTTACACCTTTGGTCTAGTGCTGTAGCTATCTTTAGATAGCTCACATTGGTACTGTAAAAGTTACTAATGACCCCCCTTAATCCCAGCAGTCGTTATGTCAGCCAGCGGCCATTAGGGGGAAGCAGACACCTTAAGAACACAGTAGCCTAAACTTTTCAACTGTTTTCCCTTCAAGGCCTTAAGGTAGTTGAAGCTGGTCCCAAGCTGGTTTTCACTGACCAGATAGCAAAAGCACGGGTCTGACCACCACCAATCAAGTGTTAACACTGCAAGGACCTTGGTCTGAATGTGTATAAAAAAAAAAAATATCTGTAAAATGTGTGTAAGAGTTTTTGTACTAAGGTGCAAAGCTCTCCTTTCTTCTGCAGAATAAAGCAACTCCTCCTTATCCCTGTCTGGCTGTTATTGGCTCTCAGCTAGGTGAACCCGATATTTCGGTAACAGTACCTTCTTTGCGTTTTGTCAAATCTGCAGAGAAAGTATTCTTAAAATGAACAACATGTGCTGGGTCATCATCTGAGACTGCTATAACATGAAATATATGGCAGAACGCGGGTAAAACAGCAGGAGACATACAATTCTCCCCCAAGGAGTTCAGTCACAAAGTTAATTAACACTTTTTTTTTCTTTTTTAAAACGAGTGCCATCAGCGTGGAAGCATGTCCTCTGGAATGGTGGCCGAAGCATGAAGGGGCATATGAATGTTTAGCACATCTGGCATGTATTATATATATCTTGCAACTCTGGCTACAAAAGTGTGATGCGAATGCCTGTTCTCATTTTCAGGTGACACTGTAAATAAGAAGCGGGCAGCATTATCAAATGTAAACGTAAAACAACTTGTTTGTCTTAACAATTGGCTGAACAAGAAGAACTGAGTGGACTTGTAGGCTCTAAAGTTTTACATTGTTTTGGTTTTGAGTGCAGTTATGTAACCAAAAAAAAAAAAAATCTACATTTATAAGTTGCCCTTTCATGATAAAGAGGCTGCACTACAGTATTTGTATGAGGTAAATTGAAAAATACTATTTCTTTTCTTTATTATTTTTACAGTGCAAATATTTGTATAAAATATAAAGTGAGCACTGCACACTTTGTCTTCTGTGTTGTAATTGAAATCAATACATTTGAAAATGTAGAAAAACATCCAAAATATTTAATTTAAATTAGTATTCTATTATTAACAGTGTTATTAAAACAGAAATTTTTAAAATCGTGATTAATTTTTTTTTAGTTAATTGCGTGAGTTAACTGCGATTGACAGCCCTAGTATAAATTAGGGATGAGTAGCTAATGCATTCTCGAAGGGAGGTCAGGAAAGTATACCAGTTCTGCGTTACAACATCTGTGCATCTGTCCATAACATGTGGAGTACTTGCCCACATCCTGGTTCTGCGAAGCTCCACCAAGAGTACTGAGCAAATCCTGAAGCCATATCGGGAAAGGTCTTGCTAGGAACAAAGCTTGAATAAGCAATAGGAGCAGGAAACCATTCCAGACCACAGAAAGAATATAAAAGTGAGAAAACCACCTGTGGAAGAAAGAAGCATCAGTATTAACTTTCTGGATTTTTCAATCATTTTTTTCTTATCACTCCTTTCTTCAGTGTTGGAATTCAGTGACCAGGTCGAAGGGGAACGGCTCATTTTCATTTGGCCTAAACTCCCACAATAAGAGACGATGGGGCCTATTATGGAACTACCAGATGCCTACCATAGCCTCATTCCAACACTGTCTTTCCCAGTTATATGCTGCTCAGAATACTAAACCTCCCACTCGCTGTATTTTTTTCCGTGTTTTTAGACCCTTCAGGTGGCTGGACTGGAAAACTAGAAGAGTGAGTGGAGACCACACAAAACAAGTGCAAGACTCAAGGCTTTAAATAAATAAATACATAAAATAATACAAACCACACAGCAATACATGAATGTAAAATGAAATTTTGAAAATGTAAAATCCTTTGGTTAGAACTTACACAGTTAAAAGTCTGACAATGACATGTTTTAATACCCCAGCCATCCTGCCTGGAATTCTTTCCTGGGCATTTCCATGCTGTTGCCTCCAACAGTATTTTCATTTTCTTCACCTCTTCTGGACAGACTATGCAGAGCATGGAAAAATTACTACTGTTCTGCATTGGTCTTTTGTACAAAATCACCCAGACACCATTACACAGCTGGACAGTGTGTTTTGTCACCACACAAATCCATGAGTCTTTAAATTGTCTTGCAGACCTATGGATTATTCATCTCCCTTGATATCTTTAAGGCAAGACTGGATGCCTTTCTGGAGCATATGTTTTAGATAAACACAAGTTATTTGGCTCAATGAAGGGGTAACTGGATTAAATGTAATAGCCTGTGATATACAGGAGGTAATTCTAGATGATCTTATGGCTTCTTCTGCTCATAAAAATCTATGAATAAAATCAGGACATCTGGCGATATCTGCCAACAGAATAAACATTCAGGATGGGCGTACTCAAAGTTTCCTGACCACAGTACTTCTTCGGATGATCTTATACTGACACAGTTTTGACTGTGTAATCAAATAAGACTGTATTTAGCTTCAGAATATGGCAAACTGACCTGGCATTTGAGGTTGATGACTTATTTTTCAACCATATGGGAGACAGAATGCAGAGGAGTTGGATATTCCACAATGGCAATCAAAGATGTGTATCACACTGAGAACTTTCCAGGGGCTTAATAAATTTGACTTTATGGGTAACATGATCAAATTCTCGTAATCACTTAAAATGGGTATGTTCTACAGTGTTGACAGATCTCAGCTGGGAACTTTAATTTCTCTGGATAGACAAGAGTGCTCCATAAGAGTATTGGACTTGTACCCAATGCTGACGCTATCATTTGGGAGCAGGCTATCAGCCTCTGATCAGCATTCTACAACATTCTCTCTCAAACAGCAATACAAAGTCACTCACACAGATGGAGAGCTTCATTGTGCACAAAGAAACCATTTGCTCGCTTACAGCAGGCAGACCAAGCAGGTACAGATTTAATTTATCTGAAAACACTCTTCGTACTCCAGTCTCTGAGCAAACAACATAGCCACACAGTAGGGGTTGTTATAGTAAAGTAGCACTTTTGGCTTAGGGACAAACAGAACTCAAACTGCTATGAGTTTTTCTGCAAACCAGGTCTCCACTTAGCCCATATTCAAGTCAAACTCAAGTCTTGTTTGATATGGGCATCTTAGACTCTTGGGGAGGCCCCCAGCAGTGGAAAGTTTGTGTGGGGAAAGGGATGGAACAGAGGCTGAAGAGGTAGATAATGGACACACTCTTCCCTCTCTTCTCTAAGCCCCTTCCAAGGGTTTTTCACTAGAGTTATTTTAATAGCTGGTTGGTTCAGTGTTATGACTATATTCCCATAAACAACAGCCCAAACACATGTACGTGTGTATTTTAAACTATTTATTTGTTTAGGAAGTTTTTAACACACCTATAAATATCAGAAACAAAACAATCATTACAACAGTTAGCTTTCGTTTACATGGGAATATAGTCATTAGAAGGTTCCATTTAACAAGGTGTTACCGTATTACAGAGTGAGCATCATTACAACCCCTGTGTTCTTTCTAGTCATTTTATTAAATTGAGTGAAATCTCTATGTACACATTTAATAGCCCAGACAGGTCTATCAAATGCTAATATTTAAAAAAAACTGGCCAGGTGTACTGGTTCAAAAACATGTATCTTTTTAATGTAAAGAGTAGAGTGCAACTACTACTAAGGCTACTTAAAACAGTTGCTTAACTACTGTTGCAGAGGCAAAGGGGACTGAATTCTCAATTACAGTATGCTGGCTCTGCTGCAGATAGCACTGCAAAGCCAATTAATTTAAGATGTCCTAGTGCTATTACAGTATACTATAGGCAACCTTGCCTCCAAAATGCTCTGGGACATTCAGGACCAAATCTTCCCTCCTGCCTCCACATGCAGAGAAGATAAAAGACTAGAGAATGCCTACTCCTAGGCAGGGGTACAAAGACATGGCATTCACCACTTATGACATCGTACCGCCTTTCACACAACCCTGCAAAAGAAGCCTCTTCATTGAAACTCAATGAACTCCATGGAGAGGAGGAGGAGGAGGAGGGAAAAGATAAGGGAGACAAAGGATGCTTTCCTCTAAGTCACATCCTCCAATTCCACAGGACTTTATTGGGCAAGTTAATGACAACCCTGTTAGCATACATTTGCACCTTTTGTGATGTGGAACTTCCCTTAAAGGTCTGGAACAGTGTCAAGGTACCCAACCGTCTGCCAGTTTTGGAGCCAAATCGATGGCCACTTTCCTGTGACGTAAATCACACTTTCACAATGGAAAATGCATTGGAAAATTCTATTAGCGCAAATTCACTGAGTTTGATTACCATTATGGGGGAGTAGCGTGCATAAAGGATTAATTTGGCCTTACAATACTGTGCAGTAATAGTAGCGATGCCCAGTTGCAGGGCTGGGACTAGAAGCCAGAAGCCTAGGGTCCCAATCCTCTTCTCTAACCTTGTGGGAAGGATTCTCTAGTTGACAGCACACTCAAGAGATCCAGGTTCAATTCCCAATTCAGACACAGATTTCCTTTGTGAACTTTGGCAAGTCATGTGATCTCTCTGCCTTAGTTCCCCATCCAGAAAAATGTGATATTTCCCAGAGGATTTCAGAGAATAAATCCCATAAATAAGTATGATGCACTTAGAAATCATGGTGGTGAAGGCCATTGCATGTCTAGACAGACAGCCAGGTAGCCTTAGATAACACATCTTCAAAATCATTCAGGTCATTCTGGAGAATTGCAGTGAGTCTTAAGGAGAGATTAATAAGAATGGGACTTTTCAGCTTGAAAAAGAGAAGACTAAGGGGGGTTATGATAGAGGTCTATAAAATCATGACTGGTGTGGAGAAAGTAAACAAGGAAGTGTTATTTACTCCTTCTCATAACACAAGAACTAGGGGGTCACCAAATGAAGTTAATTGGCAGCAGGTTTAAAACAAACAAAAGGAATATATTTTTCACACAATGCACAGTCAACCTGTGGAACTCCTTGCCAGAGGATGTTGTGAAGGCCAAGACTATAACAGGGTTGAAAAAAGAACTAGATAAATTCATGGAGGATAGGTCCATCGATGGCTGTTAGCCAGGATGGGCAGCGATGTGTCCCTAGCCTCTGTTTGCCAGAGTCTGGGAATGAGCGACAGGGGATGGATCACTTGATGATTACCTGTTCTGTTCATTCCCTCTGAAGCTCCTGGCATTGACCACTATTGGAAGACAGGATACTGGGCTAAATGGACCTTTGGTCTGACCCAGTATAGCCATTCTTATGTTATGTCTTATTTGAAGCAATGTATTATATTTGTTTGAGCTGAGAGTGATTTGCAAAACTTGTGCACTTGTACAATGTGCTACTTGTATCAACTGACTATCTCTACAGTAAGCAATTTTGAGGGCCAAGCAGAAAACTACCACATCTAATAAGAATCTTTTACTTATCAACAAGGTAATTTTAGACTAGGTAGCTTCCCAGGTCTGAAGAAGACACAAATTACTTGTGTGTTTTAGTAATACATTAGGATTTTTTTTTAAATTCAAGTTTTTATCTAATTTACTTTTCACTATGTGGTTTTCTTACTTTCTGCATTTTCCTTAGTTTGGACAATAAAATAGACTTGTTTCTACTGAAATAATAATAATTGAATGGCCCTACAGAAGTGCTATGAATCAGAAGCACATTACAGATATTAATGAAGTAAGCAAGGCAATGCTTCTGTAATGTAGGTTATTTTGAATATTATCCCGTTTCACAGAGGTAAAAACCACACAGTTTAATTGACTTGCTCATAGTCATGCAGCAAGCCAGACAAGACAGATTAAATTCTGGTCTGACCCCCAGTCCTATGCTTTAACTCACTTTCTCCCACACTAGCACAATGCTCCTATGTTGGGTTGTAAATACTACAGGAGAATGTTTGACCCAAACATGTTTTCTGACTCTTAAAAACATATGAAAGATCATTTTCAAACACCTAACATTAACAGAAATCTTAATGGGCCAATCAATCCCGATGTAATTCCACACTCAGCAAAATTACACCCAATGATGAATTTAGACTCCTTTTTTTTATAAAACCTGATAACACCAACATTTCAATTCTCAAAACAAGAGTGAGACTCTTAAATCACAACGCTGAAATGGAATTGCTTTATTGTACCTAAGCCCGAATCTTAAAAATATTGATTTATGGGCTTACCTCTACTATCATGAGTAGCCCCACTGAAGTCAGTGGAACTATTTGTGGTAACAAAGTTACACACATGCATGTTTGCAGGCCAGAGTTTTCAAGATGAATTTTACAAAAAAAAAAAAAAAAAAAAAAAAAAAAAAAATTATATATCTGGCCATCACTCTCCGCTCTTATTTTATTATTTTATTAATTAAGCTTTAAAATTTAGACACTTGGCACTGTTGGTATTTCATGTTGAGGATTTTATAATTACAGGTGTGCCCCACCCTCAGTCGTAGCATGGCTGAAAACCAGAGAGGGGTTCCTCTCTCCACCCTGGTCGGCGGGGGAAGGGTGCAGGTGGGTCAACCCCCGGTCGTAGGACTGCCAGGCAACAGGAGGTGGGCTTAGAGACCCTTGCTCCACACGACAGGTATCCTCAGTGCATACACCCTCAGCAGTAGCATGACTGAGCATAAAAGAAGAACTTAGGGTTTCTCACTCTGCCCCTGGGAGGGGTTTTGTATTTGGTGTATGAACCCTCGGTGGTAGTATGCTGAGTAATACGGAGGGAGGCTTAGCGTCTCTGCCGTGGGCTACGTAAAAATCTCAAAAAATTTAAAAAAAATCTTAAAAGTTGTACTAAGGGATTGTAACAACATGTTCAGGAAACAGAAGGATACAGCTATGGACTCGGGAGTCCCGCAGTCGTGGGCAATGGTACCAGCGATGGGTTCGAGGCCGGACGTACGGGCATTAGGGAGCGTGGACATGGTAGTCCGGCTGCCCGGTCAGCTGGCATCACGGGAGGCAGGTGAACCTGATGCCCGAGCCACGGGGGAGGCAGCAAAGAGGAACGGAATCCTGCTGCCTCTTTCAAAGGGGGGGGTGAAAGCCTCTCCCAGCTGGAAAAGGCTCTCACCAAGGTGGGATACAATCCCTGGGGTTCTGCGGCGGAGCTTCAGAGAAGGGTGCAAACTTGGCAGAATTTGTTAAACCTATATGCCAAGTATAAAAAGCAGGAGGGTAAGAACCTAGGGGCAACTGTGGAATTAATTTGAACTGCAGCAGCCATGTGGTATCAAATGTTGTCGGGACAAAAAGAGGATTTGGGGAGAAGGGACAAGGCATGTGCCCGATTGCTAGTGGAAATTGAGCAACTAAAAGCACAAATTACTAACCAGGCAGCAACCCACGCCTACGCCCAGGACAAGTTACAGGCTTTAAGACAGGACTTTCAGGCGGAAAAAGCAAAACGCACCCGCCTGAAAGCACTGGCTAAGCAAGTACCAGTTCTTCAAACACTTGTCAAAAATTTACCGATTCGTGTTCGCCAGACGCCGCAACAGCAGTGTGCTCGCCATAAAAAAAAAATTTAACAGTTAAAACGTCAGTTGGCCGTGCGTTCGGTCCAGGTGGCGAGCCTCACGGGGGATGATCCGGATGAGAGCTTTGATCTCTCCCTTTGTGAGGACCCTCAATTTTGGGTGGAACCTTGTTGCACCCCTATAGCGACCCTCATTATGACCAAGGAGAGGTCCAGCAGGTGAAGGGGGAGGTGGTCATATGTATGGCACCCCCAACTACAAAAAGAGCACCCCATGGGTAATTACAAAAAGGAAAGGGACCAGGAAGGGTGGGGGCTAGCAGGGCTGGCTCTAGGATTTTTGCCACCCAAGGCAAAAACAATTTTGGCCGCCCCCCCAATCCCATTTTTTAATTACCCCGGCCCCGCCTCAACTCCGCCCCTTCCCCAAATCCCCAGCCCTGCCTCCTCCCCCCAGGTTCTCAAGCCTAGGAGGGAGGAAGGGAGGGGGAGAAGCGGCGCCCGCGCCGCGGCCGCTCGGGATCTCCCGCTCCCTCCCAGGTTTGAGAGCCTGGGAGGGAGGGGGAGACTCCCGAGCGGCCGCGGCGCGCGAGCGGCAGCAGCAGCGGCGGAGGTGAGCTAGGGCGGCTGGGGCACATTTTTAGGGGCGGCATTCTGGCGCCGGCCATGCCGCCCCTAAAAATGTGCCGCCCCAAGCACCAGCTTGTTTTGCTGGTGCCTAGAGCCGGCCCTGGGGGCTAGTTAAGGAGCCCACCCTCCTTGCTAAATTGGTAGTGAAACAAAGCCTGTGCCCATGCAAAGGGACGGTTCAACAAAAAAGCAGGATTGGGCCCAGCCAAGCAGACAGGCAGCAGACAAAGATTTTGGAAAACCGGTTAAAAACCCCTAAGGGTGGGGTGTAATGGCAAAAGTAAAAAAAAAAAAAAAAAAAAAAAAAAAAAAAAAAAAAAAAAAAAAAAAGTGTAGTAAGTGCAAACATGGGGAATTTAAATCCCTAAAACAATACTTAAAATAATAAAATCTAAGTTAATTAAAATGTCATTTTAAAAAATAAGCAAGTAATTTAAAAAAAAGTAAAAAGTTAACTTTGCAAAAGCTACAAAAATTAAGCAGTTAAACATTATAAAAGTATTAAAAAAATCTTGGTTTCTTTGCAGCTATTCTGAAGACAAAATGGGCCCTTTTCCAAAAAAAAAGTCTGTAAATAATCCAAACAAAAAAACTATTTAATGAAAATCATTTAACTATAAACAATTTAGTAGTCAAATTTGCTTAAAAAAACATAAGGGGGTTCTATTAAAACTTAAGTGCCCCAAATATATATATAAAAATGTAATCTATGTACAGCTATGTATATATGTCACAGTCTCACAAAATCTGGTGGGTTCTTAAAGCTCCAGCTTCTGGAGTCATGGGATTACATGGTAACCTTTGTTTTTATTATTAAAAAACAAACAAACAAACAAACAAACCCCCTACATTTCCAGCTCCCATGATTACAGGGAAAAACTGGAAAACATTAGGAGTCTATATCAAAGCCCAGAAACCACTAGATGGCCACAAAGAAACATAAGCCAACATTAATCCAAACAAACATACATTAAAAAACCCGTAAGATTTTCAAGCCAATCTCACGACTTTCCAAGGCCAGGCTGGACGGGCACCACTCCTGCAGCCCTTTACACGGCTGAAGAAGGGGTCTGTTGCACAAGCACACCCCACTCTCAGGGCTAAGGGCTGCATGGCAAGCGTGGGGCTCTCCATAGCCGGGGGTATGGGGAAGGGCCGGTACCAGCCTTCCCAGCAGAGCCACGCCGCCCGAGCGGAAGGGGACAGAGTCCCTGCTAGGGCGGGCCCGGGAAGGCGGGTGTCCCTGTGCCGGGGACGGGCTAACAGACCCGGCGCTCTCCCGGCCGGAGGCAACCTCCCTTCACCTCTTGGGCAAATCCAGAAGCCGCAGCCAAGCTGGGCGCTGCCCGCAGCCGCTCTTGGTCTTCCCGTAGCGGAGCAGATCCTGGACGAGGCCGTGTCGGGGCCCCCCACGCCGGAACTGGGGCAGCTCCAGCAGCAGCGCGGCGAGGAAGGCGGCGGCCAGCAGCAGCCAGAGGGCGCTGAGCAGGGACGGCATGGCCCAGAGTCTCCCCTGCTCATGGCAGGGAACCGGGCCCACCAGCCACCCCCTACGCAACACGACCACGCAGGTCTGAGCACCGCTCCGGCCGCGGAGCCGAGTTATTGCTGTGGGGAAAGGGAGGCGGGGCCAGCCACATCCGAGCTGAGAGGGAGGCCCGGGCAGTCTCCCCGCCCCACTGGGAGGCGCGAGTGGAGCTCAGCATCTCCCCCCCATCAGCTGGGCACATGTGACCCTGTGTGCCCTCAGCCTTGATACCTTTATACCAGGGGTCTGGACCCACCCCGTCCCACTCAGGACATGCAGGAAAAAGAAGCAATGGGCTTAAATTGTAGCAAGGGAGATTTAGGTTAGACATTAGGAAAAACTTCCTAACTGTAAAGGTAGTTAAGCACTGGACAAATTACCTAGAGAGGTTATGGAATAGCAGTCATTGGAGTTTTTTAAGAGGTTAGACAAACACCTGTCAAGGATGGTCTAGTGTTGTTATTACTCAGTCCTGCCTCAGTGCAGGGTTTTGACTAGATGACCTCTTGATGTCCCTTCCAGTCCTACATTTCTGTGATTCACACTGAATTGCCTTGTGCCCAGGGGCGGCTCTAGGCACCAGCTAAACAAGCTGGTGCCTAGGGCGGCAAAATGTATGGGGCGGCAAAATGCTGGGGGGAAGTGGCCGCTGCCGCGGGAGAGCGGCATGAACAAGCCGAGGAGCGGCCTGTCCTCTGCAGCCGGGGCAGGGCCGCACTACCGGTGCCTGCCTGAGGGGGGGGTGGCCGCTTCCCGCTGCCCGCGGGAAAGCGGCGTGAACAAGACGAGGAGCGGCCCGTCCTCTGCAGCTGGGGCAGGGCCGCACTACCGGCTTCGCATGGGGGGTGGGCGCTGACAGCGGGAGAGCGGCGGAAGCCGGTAGCGCGGTCCTGCCCCGGCTTCAGAGGACGGGCCGCTCCTCAGCTTGTTCTCGCCGCTCTCCCGCGGGCAGCGGGAAGCGGCCACCCCCCCCTCAGGCAGGCACCGGTAGTGCGGCCCTGCCCTGGCTGCAGAGGACGGGCCGCTCCTCGTCTTGTTCACGCCGCTCTCCCGCGGCAGCGGGAAGCGGCCGCCCCCCCAGGCGGGAGCCGGTAGCGCGGCCCTGCTCCGGCTGCAGAGGACGGGGGAACATGGCGCCCGGGCGGTCCACTCCTCCTCGGCTTGTCCCCGCCTCTGCCTCCTCCTCCTCCTCCTCCCTGCGCCGCCTCCTGCCAGGGGAGGGGAGAGGGGAGCGGAGTGGCAGCCCGGGCTGAGCCCAGCTCATGCCAGAGCCAAGGCGAAGCCCAAGGATGAACAGGGCTGGGATCCAGCAGCAGCCCCAACCCCTGGCCCTGGGAGCAGCGGTGACCAGAGATGACTCCACCTCAGGCCAGATCTGCAACAAGGTAAGAGTCGGGCCAGGCGGGAGGGTCCCTAGGACCCCTGGGGAGCTTCTGCCTGCTGGAGCCCCAGAGGCTGCTGCCTCCCTCTCCAGCCCCTCACAGCACTCCAATGCCTGGAGTCTCCTTCTGCCTCCCCTCCTGCAGGGGGCGAGCGACCTGGCAGAGAGGAGCAGCATCTGCCCAGCAAGCCCAGCACCTCTTTCTTGGTTCCTCCAGCCCCAGAGCTCTCTCCATTGCATGCTCCTCAGGCTCCCAGCAGGGTGGCCTCAGGGTGCCGGTGCCTGGAGTCTCCTTCTGCCTCCCCCCCTGCAGGGGGCGAGCCACCTGGCAGAGAGGGGCAGCATCTGTCCAGCAAGCCCAGCACCTCTTCCTTGGCTCCTCCAGCCCCAGAGCTCTCTCCATTGCATGCCTCTTGGGCCCCCAGCTGGGCGGCCTCAGCGCTGGGAAAACGCCAGCAGGGCTGGGTCCAGTGTGTATCCAGTGTGTATCTTGCACATTGTGAAGGCTATCTGAAAAAATCACTAACTACAAATTCTCTGTTTTCATTTTAAACAGTCAAAACAAAACTGCAAAGTGCAAACATGTGTAAAAGCCAAAAAAAAGCGCGGGGGGGGGGTCAGCCAAAAATTTTTTTGCTGGGGGCAGCAAAAAACCTAGAGCCGGCCCTGCTTGTGCCACTGTCTAGTAGTAGTGGCACACAGTTCTCTGACATGCA